AGTTACTACGAAGGTGCCACTATCCCGTTCGGCGTTTGCGTCCCTTTTGATCCAGGTTGACGTTTTAATTGACAGACATGATTACAAAGCTGAAAGTCTGCTCTAGGTGAGAGTTATCCCTGTGTTCACCTCTCCGCTGGGGCTGCACTCAGCTATTGATGGCTCATGGAGATATTGATATGCCTGCTCCAGCCGGGTGCCACCACACCCATCCACCAAAACCCCCTCGCCCGCAAACAACAACCCAACCCTTATAGCACCCACAAGCCCCGCCCTTCTTGCCAGCCGAATTAATTCGATTCTATTTTTGAGAGTTGGTGTTTCTAAGGGATACCTAATGACGCAGTGACGTCAATGCAGGTCAATAGCACACTGCTGGAGAAGAAGGACAGACCGGCGGGGGATGGGGGTGGACTGGCAGTTGAAGTCGTTCCCCGCGTGTGAGATGAATTATCCTCAGGCAGTTTTAGTGTCTTTAATTTAATAATTTCCAATAATGGCACAGACTCAAAGTCTGCCTCCTCATTCATGCTCTGCGTCTGTCTGGAGTCATTCACGAGCACCACACACACACACACACACACACACACACACACACACACACACACACACAACAGAGAGAGAGAGAGAGAGAGGGGGGGGGGGGGGGGACATATTGCTTTGAGGTAGGACGTGAACGCAAATCCCCCCGTGCGTAAAGTCCCGCTGATTTGGCGGGGTCCTTCCTTCATCATGGGCTCTGTTGTTACTTCCTCACTTCTTCTTCCTCACCAACCACCACTAGCACCACCTTTCACCCCCCCACCTCACGACCAGCCCACTTCTCGTTGAATCATAAATGGCAGCAACAAATATGTCAGTCTCTGAAGGAACGGGGAGAGGACAAAGGTGGGACTTACTCCGTCCTGACGCAGGGGAAGAGATAGTCTTTCTTTCTTTCTTTCTTTTTTTTCTTTCTTTCTTTCTTTCTTTCTTTTTTTCTTTCTTTCTTCTTTCTTTCTTTCTTTCTTTCTTTCTTTCTTTCTTTCGTTCTTTCTTTCTTTCTTTCTTTCTTTCTTCTTCTTTCTTTCTTTCTTTCTATCTTTCTTTCTTTCTTTCTTTCTCAGCCGTCATAAGTTGTTTTTTTAAAGAGGTTTAAACAAACAACAACAAAAAAGCTAAACCCAAAGGTAAGCGTCTCTGCGCTTCGATGCCAGTTAAAAAAAAACGGGTTAAACATGTTCAGACTTTTGGATTGTGTGTGTGTGTGTGTGTGTGTGTGTGTGTGTGTGTGTGTGTGTGTTCCGGATTACTCACGAGTTGGTCTGCTGGGACACCTATCGCGTCATACCCGTGTCACAACCCGTGCACGCGCATTGGGTCCACAGCGCGCGTGTGAACGGGACTCGCGCGCGTGTGAACGGGACTCGCGAGCGAAAATATACATGGCGAGAGGTCATTTGTGCACAGAGAGGGAGCAAACTGTGTCTGTGAGCGCACAAGGATGTGCACAAGTGACAAACCTGCGTGCGCGCGTTGTCAACGAGCACACGGCAGAGGAAAACGTGCGCGCGCGGCAGCCTCTGTGCGCGCTCGGCAGCCTCTCTGCGCGCTCGGTTTCTGACTCCTGCTCGCTCGGCTGTAAGGGCTTTTGGCACTCTGGAGGCGTGGCCTGTGGCAGATCTTGTCTGTCCTCTGATTGGTTAGTTCACCCCGCACTTTACCCTCTATTTATATAAAAAAGTCTGATGTTCAGTAGTTGCTGGCATAGCTCAGCTGGGAGAGCGGGAGGATCCAGGTTTGAGTACGGGCAAGGAAAATGTAGTAGACGTCATGTTAATTTTTCTTAATTTCAGGTATTTTACAGTTGTGACCGTTCAACTGTCATTAAACGTCCGAATGTTTGCTGGGCAGTGTTTTAAAAAGTGCACATAAGCTAGATGGTTTTAACCATATAAAATTACATTTTTTGTGATACTGGAAAAATACATACTGAAATAAAACTACTGATTGAAAACTTTATGACTGTGGTTGTACAATATATGACTCACTAATACACTGCAAACTCCCTTAGAGTGGGGCTTCCAGAGAGAGAGAGAGAGAGAGAGAGAGAAAAGTTCTTGCCTCATTAATGAATTGTTTATTTTTTTCAGTATTTAATTGACAAATTATCCTTTCAAATAATTAATTGATGAGTTACATAATTGTCCATTTCATAAAGAAACTGCATATCAAGCTTTCATTCAGATGACCTTCAACAGTGCTGCACCCTGCTGAGGGACATCCGAGTAAAACCTTGAGATGGCCATTTTCTGTTCACTAACTTGCTTTAGTAAATCCTTACTTTTGTTAAATAAATCAGTTGTTGAACCCCCACTCCTCTGTTTGGCCTCCTTTCTTATTACAGCCCACCACTTCCAGTCTGGGTTGTAACAATCTGCAGACAGATTTCTGAGTATCTCCTCCTTTACACAGATCCTCACTGAGCCATGTACTGTGAACAAATAGTTTCTCCATGATATTATCCAGCAAGGTCCCGTTTTTGTCAAAACAAGGGTGAGGTAATGAAAAAATAGAAATATTTCATTAAATTAACATTTAAATTATTTATATGCATCATTAAAATAAAAAAAAACGTGTTTTGAAATATATAAAGTGCACCAAACTTGACTCAGTCCATTCAACAATTCTAAATGGACAATTATGTAACTCATCAATTAATTATTTGAAAGGATAATTTGTCAATTAAATACTGAAAAAAATAAACAATTCATTAATGAGGCAAGAACTTCTCTCTCTCTCTCTCTCTCTCTCTCTCTCTCTCTCTCTCTCTCTCTCTTCTCTCTCTCTCTCTCTCTCTCTCTCTCTCTCTCTCTCTCTCTCTCTCTCTCTCTCTCTCTCTCTCTCTCTCTCTCTCTCTCTCTCTCTCTCTCTTTCTCTCTGGAAGCCCCACTCTAAGGGAGTTTGCAGTGTATTAGTGAGTCATATATTGTACAACCACAGTCATAAAGTTTTCAATCAGTAGTTTTATTTCAGTATGTATTTTTCCAGTATCACAAAAAATGTAATTTTATATGGTTAAAACCATCTAGCTTATGTGCACTTTTTAAAACACTGCCCAGCAAACATTCGGACGTTTAATGACAGTTGAATGGTCACAACTGTAAAATACCTGAAATTAAGAAAAATTAACATGACGCCTACTGCATTTTCCTTGCCCAGACTCGAACCTGGATCCTCTGGGGCGAGAGTCACCCACTCTCCCAGCTGAGCTATGCCAGCAACTACTGAACATCAGACTTTTTTATATAGATAGAGGGTAAAGTGCGGGGTGAACTAACCAATCAGAGGACAGACAAGATCTGCCACAGGCCACGGCTCCAGAGTGCCAAAAGCCCTTACAGCCGAGCGAGCAGGAGTCAGAAACCGAGCGCGCAGAGGCTGCCGAGCGCGCACAGAGGCTGCCGCGCGCGCACGTTTTCCTCTGCCGTGTGCTCGTTGACAACGCGCGCACGCAGGTTTGTCACTTGTGCACATCCTTGTGCGCTCACAGACACAGTTTGCTCCCTCTCAGTGCACAAATGACCTCTCGCCATGTATATTTTCGCTCACGAGTCCCGTTCACACGCGCGCTGCCATGTATATTTGCGCTCGCGAGTCCCGTTCACACGCGCGCTGTGGACCCAATGCGCGTGCACGGGTTGTGGCACGCTTTAAACGCCATAGACAACTAATGGATGGACACAGAGAGGAGGATCTTTGTCATTTGTTGTCCAGGTTTGGTTTTAGTTCCCGCTTTAGCTTAATACTTTGGGTGAAGATGGAAAAACAATAATTCAACTGATTTTCTTTGGTCTGAATCTTGTGTTGGTTTTACTAGCAGATCCAAAAATATACATTTAGATTTACTTGGTGGGATGGTGCATGTTAGAAGATGCCACACAACAAATGTCACGATTCAGTCCTAATAAGTATTTTTAGCTTCTGAAGGGAAATAAAATCCCCACGAAATGAACATTTTATATATTTTCTCGGACAATTTGCTTTTCTGACACAATTTTCATTGCCAATAGTTCTTTAGAACAACATCCATATGTTTTGACCGGAAACATATTTGACTGCAGGACGCAAGATGGACCTGTCTGATTCTAACATTTTATCAGCGTGGGCCTCAGTGGTCCACTGGTTTAGTCTAAACCCCTCTGCGTTACGATTTTTATTTATGGGACGGAATCGGATGGACGTGGTGGTGGGGACTAAAACATGTTGGAGTCAGGACGTACGTTTTGGAAGTGCGGGTGGGGGGGGGGGGGGGGGGGTGGGTGGACTCAGGCTCTCGAGCTGGTTGTGGCGGCACCACGCGGTGATCAGGGCGCACTACACATACAGCATCCCTGTGATGCCTCTGGTTGTTTAGTGATTTTACAAGTGGGGTACTTTTGCACCTAATTTAGTGGTGACTTGCTCAGTTTAGTGTTTGTCTGCATAAAATGTCTCTTTTACAATTGCACCTCGTTTGTAACGCGTGCGTGTGTGCGTGTACGCGCGCGCGTGTCAGCCACGGATATATAGTTGGCCTACGGGCAGGGATAAAAATAGCAGCGATGGGCGCAGCCCTTCTCCCTCCTCACACCGACTTCCCAGCGCCGCTCAGCGGATCCTTAATGCCTCAGCCCGGTCTGTCCCGTTTCCTCCAGGCTCTGTCCGGACAGAGGAGGGTGTGGGGGGCGTCAGATGTTACACACTGAAAGATGTGGAAGGAGTTTTATCTCTGCATTTTATGAACAAGCGCGCGCTGTATGTGGGGTCGTATCCGTGGGTGGTGAGTCTGGATGGCTTGCTCGCTGGAAACCCAGGAGCCCCAGCGTTTACCAGAGGGTTGTTCCCCATAGAACCTGCTCCAGAACTGCAGTTTCCACCTCTGTATGCTCTGGTTCCTTTTTCTCCTCCTTGGCACATTTTGGAGGAGCGGAGCGCAGAGCGGCGCTCTTTAATCAGGCTATGGTTGGAAAGTGAGGCTATGGTTGGAAAGTGAGAAAATCTAAACGTGACGTCAATGCCTAGTAACTGACGCAGCCCTTCAACATAAAATGGCTTTTTATTTATTTACCCCCACCTCCCCGTCAGCACAGCTTAATTACTCTATTTTACTGCGCTCTTTCGACTAAAACATGAAAGAAATGCCCTCCTGGAGCGCCGGGATTGCCTTCTCTGGACATATTTTGGAGTTCATGAGTTTCAGATGTTGAAACACTGGGACCAGAAGCTTCTGAAGAGGGCGGCAAGACACCGTGTTGCTGCTGATCCAAAGGTTTTAGTTGTTGGGGAGGAAAGTGTTTAAAGGAGGACGCACAGCTGCAGGATTAAAAAAAGATGTCTGCATTGGTGCAACGGATAGGAACCGAGGCTCCTGGGCAGAGTTGGAGAGGCAACATTGATTTACATTTCATGCATTTCACGTAACAACCCTAAGCTGTTCCTTCGTGAGTGTCTGAGACCTAAAAATAGCATAGTTTTGATCGCGCACCAGAAATAGACAGACGGGGTTCACTTGTATGAAAAGGAGGCGATCCAACTTGGACGTGCAACTGTAAGCCTGCATAAAAACAAATTGAGGACTGAATCTTGCTGCTGTTTTAAAAACACTAAACTCTCCTGTTCTTTGTACTTCTCTCTCTGCTGTTTAGAACGAGAGTGCGCCTGAGCTATGGTGAGTGAGTGATTTGCACACGAAATGTTTAATCCTGTGTACTTTTTGCATGCTTCCCGGTGCCCATTCTCCCTCGTTTTACCTCCTGCTCTGTCTCATGCGCGCACTCACTTCACTCCCAGTCGTGAGCATGGATTTAATTGGCACGCTTTGACTGTAGAGTCGTAGCAGCCCTTCCTGCAGAGTAGGAAGTCCCTTTTAGTAAATAAGCTAGTGCAAAAATGTCTTTGTTTGTTGGCGCCGTTGAGTCTCCATCACGTTTCTTCTCCCTTCCCATCTAAGCGAGGGGAACCCTTTTCCGCTGAATGTTATAGGACGCATTTCCCCACCGTTATCTTGCTGTGAAAGAAGAGTGATAGAGAAAAGCAATGAACGAGGATGAAGATGCGAAGAGGAAGAGGAGAAGCGGTTGTTGCAGTAGAACCAAATATAGCGCACTGCACGGGGAAGCCCGGAGCTTTCCAGCAACAATGGTGCTGAAACCACACCAAGCGGCAGCAGAGGGCTGTAGTCTCCAGAACGTGCGCGCGCGTGTGTGCGTGCGTGCACTTGCAGACTGTGGTCAGTTGTTGTATCTGGAAACCAGAAGATTTATTTACCCCTTAATTTAATTAAGTAGCCTCACCATACTGAGGGATTTTTTCCTGATTAGACGACGCCTACGTGAATTATTTCCAAAAAATATTAGATCTCCACACCAGTCCAACCTTGGCATGATGTAACAGCTATCAGAATATTGCTGGGGACACGTTTGCAATATTGTTATGAAGACTTTTCTTTCTGTGGAGCGCGCACACGAAACCAAAGACGTTGCGTTCAAGAGTTTGGAGGAATCACCTTTTTAATTATAAGCGGGGAGCGGATGAAGGGGCTTGGGCATCTGCTGCACAGCTCTGCAGTCAGTTCCCTTTCTGCGACCCCAACCAGTGAACAACTTTGGAAATATGTTCCAACTATTTTGCAAGCAAGCAGCAAGTCTTCAGAGCCAAAGGAGGATTAAAAACATCAACGGCCTGTCTTTGTCATGCAAAATCTCCTCCGTACGTCACTTGCGATACAATGCTCCACCTATACACAGGCGCGCGCGCGCGCGCGCACACACACACACACACTTCCATTCTTCGTTACTCAAAATGTGCGGAGATCGATTCGAGGGACATCATTTATGCTCAGTAATGTAACGAAAAGCATGTCATTTCGGAGGAAAAAGCCCGGATTCCCGAGTCGTGACTACTAAAGTGAGTCATGTGCGCGTTGGCTGCGTCAGGAGAGGCAGTCGCTGTGCAGTGCAGACGGTGGGGGAGAATCGTGACTGACTAGGTGGCAAATAAAAAGATCACCCAATAAAAAACAAAACCAGAAATAACCACATAGTCTCACCTTCTGGTGGGGGAGGAGGGATCGCGAGGAGGGAAGGGGGTAAGGGGTTCTCTGGTTTGGGGTGGGCTGTAGCCACTACCCTATCTCCTCCAGTCAATCCCGAGCCTCGCCTTTTCCACCTTAAAGCTTGTTTTTAGTGTGAGCTGCTGCCTGTTGGCATGCTGGCAGCCTGCATGAATGCAGACGAGTTTCATCAGGGATGGTCAAGCAAGGGGTGGAGAGAGAGAGAGAGAGGGAGAGAGAGAGAGGGAAGAAGAAGAAGAAGAAGAAGAAGAAGAAGAAGAAAAAGAAGAAGAAAAAGAAGAAGAAGAAGAAGAAGAAGAAGAAGAAGAAGAAGAAGAAGAAGAAGAAGAAGAAGAAGAAGAAGAAGAAGAAGAGGAATTTGACATCAAGAGTGGGGGAGTTGGAGAGGGGGTCCGGACCGAGATCGTGACCCACCCTCTACCTCGGTACAGTAACTTGCAGGTCTCCTGGTGTGTGTGTGTGTGTGTGGAGCGGTGGGGGGGGGGGGGGGGGGGGGGGGGGGACTTGTTGCTGATGAAAGGGTTCAGGAAAAAGAAAAAAGGGAGGTAAGTTTCTATTGTTTTGACTTTACCCAAACAGAACCTCTTATTTTGATTGAAGGTAAATCTGAAGTTGATCCTGATGATATTCTTGTTGTTATTGTTTACTTTTATTGGGATGTTTGTTGTTGTATGTTTTTAAACTAAAAACCTGTGGGAAGTGAGTTCCCGGGCTGGGTTTGTGGTTTGGAGACTCCCCCTTCCCACCTCCCTCCCTCACATTGTTTTATTTATTTTTCTTTTGCGGTGTTTTCTTGCTGAACTCTTTTGTCTCTTTTTAGAAAACAGTGGATGTGTTGTGACGGCTTGTCCAACCACATCTCTATTTTCTAATTCCTCATGCTGTGATGAGGCTGAAACCAACCATTCAGTTTTACTATTATTACTGTTTGTTGTCACTCACAATCTCAGCCTGCCTGGGACTCAGTGAGAACAAAACAAAATAAACAACACTTTCTGTCCTACTGGATGTTCATTTTGACATACAGTCAGAATCTTTTCCATCTTTTTCCATGTCCTTTAATATTAATTATTATTTTAAAAAAGAGGGGTCCTGATATGAGCAAGACACCGATTGGTTGATGACGAGGTTTGGTTTGCTCCAATAAGATCCCTGCTTGTTCTCTATTTATTGCCAGCAGTTTACAGCCTTGCTCCCTCCTCAGCCAGAGCTCTGAAGCTGCTGCAGACAGTCAGAGCGTTACTATAGGGAGTCACAGCACGGAGCAGAGAATATCACACACACACACACACACACACACACACACACACACACACACACACACACACACACAGAGAGAGAGAGAGAGAGAGAGAGAGAGAGAGAGAGAGAGAGAGAGAGAGAGAGAGAGAGAGAGAGAGAGAGAGAGAGAGAGAGAGAGAGAGAGAGAGAGCACTGACAACAAAACGCACCGACACACAGCTCCCAGTCACCACACGGACTTTTTGCACGTCCTGGCGTTTGGGTAAGGAAGATATTCATAGGGAAGGGGGGATCCAATGGGAGAGAGGGATGGTTGAGAGGGGAGAAGGGAAGCGCAAGGACCTTGGACAGCTCTCAGCTGCAACGGCAGCAACCGGAGACGCCTCTTCTTCCTCTTCCTCTCTCTTCCATCCATCCTCTCCTCTGTTTTGCTGCGCTGGAGGAACAGACCTGCCTCGGGTTGGAGATACAATCGAGCGAATCAGGATGGGAGATAAATCCTCAGGAAAGAGATGAGAATTCAGCTCCAGTCACGGAATCTCCGGACGACATCAGCAGCGAATCATGTCCTTCACAAATCTTTTTGCGGTCTGGGCTTGCTGTTCATAACTATTAACATGGGAAGCCCTTACCCCAAAAAGCATTTGCGGAGGACGCACTCACCGCGCCGACACTTCCACAACAGAAGACGGCCCCACTTGTGGAATTTTACTATTCTGAAAGGACTTCTCTCTTCCTTCATTCTTTCCTTTATTTAACCTTGCCATTGCCGCCACAGCAGTGACGTTTTTGTTATGGTTGTTCTTTCCATCCCTATGGTTGTAACCCCCCCCCCACACACACACACACACACACTCAACAGTTTTCTTCTCTATGTGGCGAAGCTCTGACGCCACGTCAATGACAAGTTTTGCTGAAACTCTTGTTCTCTTCAGTCAAAACAATCAAGTCACCAAGTCACTCACACACACACACACACACACACACACACACACACACACACACACACACACACACACACACACACACACACACACACACACACACACACACACACACACACACAGGGAGACCCATGCAATTTGCACGTGGAGGGTCGCGTGTGTGTTTCAAGGGGTGGGGCGCTAATTTACCTGTACGTCACCAAACTCCCCTTTGTCCCTATGTCCCAATGCATAAGCAGTTATACAAAATAATGCACATGCACACACCTGTAAATAAATTGCGTGCAAGGGAATTCCCCGACCACCTGAACCAGGAAAGAAAATTTCTGTGTGTCACACACACACACACACACACACACACACACACACACACACACACACACACACACACACACACACACACACACACACACACTGACCCTTCACCTGGAGAGAAACAGACACAATGAAAAAATCAGCCTCATGCAGCCATCGCTCTCCAGTCATGCAGCAGACACATCTCTTGCCTCTAGCAGCATAATGTTATCAAATCACGAAAATAAAAGCCAGAGATGAAAATAGACACAATTATTGGATGAAGTAAAAAACCTTGAAGGGGATTTAAATCAGTTTAGTCCCGAGAAAAAAGCCTCCTCGAACTTCACATCCGGTTCCCTTCAGCTGTCCCGTTACTGTTGCGTATCATTAAACGATGACGAACACGTGAGAAAACATATTTTTAGTAAAAAAGTAGCCATTCCCGAACGCGGCGAAGTAAAAACCTTTATCAAAAACGAGAGGAGAGGAAGACAAGCCGGCTCTCCTCTGGCTTCACACCTGTTTGGGGCCCTTGTGGGTGGGACACAAAGGGACACCCTCTGTTCTCTCAGGTGTTCTACGGAGGCTCTATACCTGCGCTCGTGCTGCGAAAATGAACTTTACCAACGTGTAAATATAAAAGTGACGCCACTGTAACGCCCAAGTTTTTAAAACAGAATGAAAGAAGGAAAAGGAGTTGACCCCTGACCCTTCTGCGCATATATGCGTTTTTAAACATCAAAGGAACACCGAGTCCCGTCTCGGGATATCGGGGCTGCTTTCTGCCCTCTACGTGAGGATGCCGGTGACGTTAAAATAAGCCGCCCGCCTCAAAAATCTGAGGTAGATCGTCAGTTTTATTTATTTCGGGCAGTTTGATGCATGCTTTTGGATTTAGTCCCGTCACTTCCTGCTGGCCTGGCCTGCAGCACCTAAAGACTGTTTTTAATGTTTTTCTGTCTTACAGACAATTAAAAAAAAGCACCAAAACACAACATAGTAAAGGAGGCTATGGAGCCTATTGCCGCTGCCAGGGAGGAGAGGTGAGCCCCGTTCTGGAAACACGCACCGAGGAGCGGCTGCTACCAGAAACAGCGCACCCTGCCCCTCTTGGATTCCTCCCGACAAAGGTAAATTACGCACCTAGAGCTGCATGAGGATAACATCAAAACCCTTTAATTAGCGCAAAGATCACGATTATGATGTTTTGGAGAGAGGTTCTCGTGCTGCTGGGTTCTCTTTGCTGGAGCTCAGAACAGCCTGCGTAATCTCTGTTAGTTTGGTGTAATGATTTTGAGGTACTTTGGTACACACAACTAGTATTGCTGAGATAGTGTAATTTTTAGTTGTGGTGACGGTTAAATTTGTGTTTCTGATGCCTTCAGTGCATATTTGGAAAAGCACGTCTTAAATATGATGTTGTTGTCTTCACTGAAATAAAAATAAACATTTAATATGTGTCTTATTTTCATAGAGTCCTGTGTAAAACCATCAGAATTTTGCTAATATTTAGGTCCACCCCCACCCAGAATCAGATCACAACAAGCATGGTTTATTCTAAATATTTGATATTTGAATTTCTATCTTCTGAAAAAAAAGAAAAACAAATATTAATTTAAAACTGCTGGAAAAAGTGGTTTTCCACCACAAAGCAGATAATCCCTCCTCACACAAAACCTTTAGGAAATCAAAATGTCCTTTTCTCTTGTTGTTTGTGCTTTACTTGAAGTTTGTGGTAGCAGAAATGTTCCTCTGAGCTGACCAGAAAGACCTCAGAGTGACCAACACAGCAAGAAAAACACTGAAATGACTGCTGGGAGATTAGCTGGGATTATCTAAAGACTTTTTGAAAATATTTTGGATTTATGTTTAAGTTGTGTGTAGTGGGTGTAAATCAGGTGGTGATTTTGTCTTTATAGACTCAGTCACTTCATTACTGTCTTCACAGCTGTTCTCCTTCTCAAAATTCAATGATGATTCAAGTCTGGCTGAAAAAAAAGCCAAATAGTGTCAAGTGTTGATTTAACGGTCTTTAAACTTCTCATGATGGACTGGAAGACAGTGTTGAGATGATTTACCGGTCTCCTTCTCACTGACAAACATATTTTAAAGTAGATTAAGCGTCCAGTGCTCCCATATGATAAACCGCAGCATGTTCTTGATTAACTCCTGACAATCGTTTCATGCAAGCGACCGTGAAAAGCTACATTCAGGGAGATGACATCATGGCTAAAAATAAAATGACTAAAACAAGACTTTTTTACGTTCTAGAAAATCAGTGTTTGCAGTGTGAGAGAATTAATGTTCTTATGGTGTCTTCCTGTTAAAAAAGAATAATGAAAATATAACAGACGTGTCTCAACCCAGAGCTGACAGTATTCCAATTATTTCCTGCTGTTTTGTATTTCATTTGTACATTTTTACAGACTGGTTATGATTTGGGTTCATCTATCGACACTGTAGTGTAAAGTGCTTTGGAGTCCTCTCTGAAAGATGCTACACAAATGTGGCCTCTTTATCATTTAAAGTATTGTACGTAAAATAGTCCAGATCTTCATGTGCGACTTTATTTATGAACCGTCAGTTTTCATCTCAGCAAACACACGGAGAAACTCTGGCTGGCAGCAGTACTTGTACCTGCTGTCGATGTCTACTCCTACGAATAACCATAATTACTGTGTGAATAGTCATGTGATGACAGCTTTACGCTGGAGTAAAGGTTAGCAACATAGTGATGATAAAGTTTTGAAAAGATTTGAGCCATTTTTAAATGACATCATCTTTAATTTTAGCTGCTTTCTGCTCAATGGTGTTGTCTGACGTGAAGCCCATTCCTCCAAACTGTTCAGGAAGCTACAGCAGTCATATTTTTTTAACGTTTACACAGAAACACACTCCAGAATGACTTAAAAACCTCTTAAAAATCTGCCTTGAGCTACAATTCTATCATTACATGATGCATCTTCTGCCTGTGGATGTAACCTGGATGAACTTACATTCATGTGTTTATCAGCACACATCTAACACCATATCATAGTGAACTAAACACAAAGGACAACTCGAAGAACAAAGGTCATGACCCTCAGGGGACAAGCTGTTCTTCAGTCATGTTGTCCAGGCTTTGAAGCAGCTCAGTCTTCAGCCTGAAGGAAGGAAGGTGAATAGTCCATGAGCTGGCTGGGCAGGGTCCGTCATTCTGTTCTGTTGGTGCTCATTTCCTGAGCAGGTCTGAATGCTCTTGCCAGTGCCTTCTTGTCCACCTCAGATCCATTCCCAGACCAGATGAAGAAGATGTCAGAGTACTGTCCAACACTAGCAAGGGCAAAAACAACAGTTAAAATGTTTTAACCATCCTAGCAGTGTTGGTGGTACATGTCACCAGCCCCACAGCTCCAGTGATGATTGGGTTAATTGCTAGCTCAGCAGCTCATACCTAAACAGACCTGTTGTCGTTGGAGATTATTCCAAGGTCACCAGTGTCAGTGAGGTGGTCATGTTTAACCCTCTGGAGGCAGGTGTTGCAGATGTGCAACAGTTAAAACCTACCTACCTGGTTACTCCACATATGTATTTCATGAGCAGTTTTAACTCAGAAGTTCCCCTGAAGGACTTCGTTGTTCTTCTTTTCATTAAAACTTATTTTGAGCCTGAGAGGGTTAAATCATCTCTTTGAACAGCTCACTTCAAATGTTCATTGCACAAAGTTCATCCAGTTCTGCAGGCACGACTGCACCACCAGTCACCCAGTTAGCCTCCAAGGTTTCAGCAAACGATGTTGTGTTGATTGTGTAGCAATTCTCCAGTCTTTGGCAGTGGCTTGCTACAAATACAACCTCACCTCAAGTCTGGTTTTCGGCTTGGTGCCTCATTTTTTTCTCCTTCTCTTTGGTGGTTGGACCAGTCAGCTGATCGTTCATGGGGCAATGAGGGAAACCCAAACCAGTTTATTTCCGCCACCGTGTTTAGGTTCATCTCCTAAAACGTGTTGTTTACCTGTGTAGAGAAATAGAGTGATGTAACTATCTAGAGTTGTATTTTAATATACTGTAAGTAGATCACTTGTTATAATCAGAAGATGGGCTGTTTTTATCATCAGGGAGTTTAATTAAACACTCTGTATTGACTTTGAGACAAGAAAAGAGAGAGAGATGGGATCGTTTAAGAATCTTTAATTTCTTAATTATAAATTCTTAACAATCTACCAGGACTAACTCTGTGATGGATGAAAATGGATTTGGATGTTGTGTTGGTGCGTGTGTGTGTGTTTTGTTCAGGATCTTTAGGCTGACGTCATTGAATCTGGTAGTCTGATTGTTATGACTAGATATCACGAGGCTTATAAAGTGATGACACGAGCTGCTATTTTGCCGTGTACGTACCCAGTGGGGGCCTCCCAGGTAGATCAGGAAATGCCAGGTCTGAAGACCTCGGATGTGCGCTGGAGCTGGTCGAAACAGCGATCGCAGCGTTTCAAAGCCCGTCTGAAGGGTCGACCCAGGTAACAATCGGCAGCGTCAGCAGGTGCTCTTATTTTGAAAGGATGTCGTCTGGTTGTTAAACGACGAAAATCTCCAACTTCACAGTTCTTAGTTTAAAGAAGAAAACGCATCTGGCCAGGCTGTGCTTCTCTTTGGGATGACGGTGAATAGAACTGAAGTCAAAATGGAACTGAGCTTAAAATGGCGTTGCCTTGTTTTATATCTCTGAATTATTGATAAGTTTTAGTAAAGCGGATTGGACACTTTAAGTCAACAAGCCAGATTCTCTTGCGGCAGCCAAAAGCTCTGATTGGTTGGAACAATGTGTCATGCGTTTCTATGGAGATGAGGGTCAGTCTGTCTGTGCAGTAGTCCTGTTTTCATTAAACACATAAATCATGACATCTTTATTCCACAGATCATTCACTTGATTATTATTGATCAACATCTGTTTCGACTAGCTTTAATCACAAATTAAGTACTTTGATTATTGAAAAGCGTTCTTCTTCTCCTTCTGGCTCTTCTCCTGGAATGTAAACAGTCTGAGGAACACCCGACCTTGGCGTTTTCTACACGGGTGTTACTGTGTTCAGGGGCAGCTGTGTGGAGCTGAAAATAATGAACTTCATAACGTTACATATCCCCCCTTTTCAAGGTCAATGTGGTCCTTCAAGAGACCACTTGGTCGTTGAACAAACCCAAGTTATGAAGAATCTTGACAACAGAACAGGATGCGATCCCAAGGGAACAGCCATCAGTGGTGAGGTACGAACCCCACTCCGAAGAATAGTCTCACATACTCCTCAGGAAGAACACAAGTCAGCAGGTTATTAATTATTCCCCATGGAAGCCATAAACAAAGCAACAGCAACTTTATATCCTCACGTGCAATAAAGCAAAGCAGGAGCAAATCTTGTACGTATCCACGAACAGGGTAGTATTCCAATTAAAAATCGATTGTTGTATCCACAGGTAGGGTAATATTCCAAATAAAAATTGATCATTGTATCCACTGGTAGGGTAATATTCCAAATAAAAACTGAACTTTGAAAGAGTACTTATCGTAATCCACAAAAAGGGAAGAGCAGTTGACAGTAATCCCAACGAATGAGGTGTCCCAGCAGCCATGCCGGAACCACAGTCGTCCAAGGCCAACGAGCCGGAGCACCCCCCAGGAGTAGTCGATGCAGATGACGAGTCACGGATCCACCCCCAGGAAGCAGGATCCTCTCAAGCTCAGCAGAGGAGAGAGAGCACAGTGCAGGCACTTCAATGTAGACACGACAAAATTGCATTTCATGTCATCAAAAAAAAATTAAAAACCTAACTCTATTAGTGCCTTTTGTACTATGTGTTAGTTTCATGTGTAATTACCCATTAAGTGAAGAAATGGATGCAGCCCTGTCTGTGTTAGGTGCAAAAAGGGATGATGCGAGAAGCAGAAAAATGAAAGAAACCCTAACTGGTATCAGTGAAACCTCACTGGAAATACACGCTGTCAGGACAGGGGCAAAATTGGTTATAGCCCTGTGAGATAAATCAAAGAATTGATAGTCAAAATCATAATATTCACTGTTAAAATCAACTGGTCAAAGGTACCATAAAAAAAACCAGAAATGTAAATCAGTACTAAAATGTAAATCAGTGGTTAG